TATTTTTTCCTTTCACACAGAGCAACACATTAGCCCAGTTAACAATAAAAATTACTGATATTATCAGGGGATCAGAGCGTAATCTGTAGTTTATTCCAAGACTTTGCATATTTCTTTAATAGTTCTCATAGGCTATAATCCAAGATGCCAAACCAAACAAAGATGCTAACATGAAATCTTTGTTTATTTAAAATGTGGTCACTTCTAAGCAGACATTTCTCCAAAGAAGACATACATATGACTAATAAACACGTGAAAAGCTGCTCAACACTGCTCAACATTAGAGAAATGCAAATCAAAACTACAATGAGGTATTGTCTCACACCAGTCAGAATGGCCATCTTCAAGAAGTCTACAGACGATCAATGTTGGAGAGGGTGTGGAGAAAAGGAAACCCTCCTGCACTGTTGGTGGGAATGTAAATTGATACAACCACTATGGAGAACAGTATGGAGATTTCTTAAAAACGATGAATAAAACCACCACATGACCCAGCAATCCCACTCCTGGGAATATACCCTGAGGAAACCATAATTGAAAAAGACACATGTACCCCAATGTTCAGTGCAGCATTATTTACAATAGCTAGGACATGGAAGCAACCTAGATGTCCACTGACAGATGAATGAATAAAGAAGTTGTGGTACATATACACATAAGTGTATACTGGAATCTTATTCAACTATAAAATGGAACACGTTTGAGTCAGTTCTAATGAGGTGGATGAACCTAGAGCCTATTATACAGAGTGAAAGAGAAAGACAAATATGGTATATTAATACATATATACAGAATCTAGAATGGCATCACCGACTTGATGGGCATGGGTTTGAGTAAACTCCGGGAGTTGGTGATGGACAGGGAGGCCTGGCGTGCTGTGATTCATGGGGTCTCAAAGAGTCGGACACAACTGAGCGACTGAACTGAACTGAGAAAGATGGTACTGATGATCCTCCTGCAGAGCAGCAAAGGGGATGCAGACATAAAGGACAGACTTGTGGACACAGCAGGGGAAGGAGAGGGTGGGATGATTTGAGAGAGTAGCATTGAAACACATGCATTACCATATGTAAAAATAGATAGCTGGTGGGAATTTGCTGTATGGTGCAGAGAACCCAAAGTCCGTGCTCTGTGACAACCTAGGAGGGGCGGGATGGGGAAAAAAGGTGGGAGGGAGGGGACATATGTATACCCATGGCTAGTTCATGTTGACATGTGGCAGAGACTCTCACAATATTGTAAAGTAATTATTATCCAATTAAAAATAAAATAAAAACGTGGTTACTTCTTTAACCATGAAAAAAATACACATGCTAACTCTGATTTCAATAATCACTTTAAAAGACTCCGAGTCACTGAATTTTAAAACTGTATTGCATAGCATAGCATAATTTATTAAAAAGTTAAAAGTGGATACCAGGAATTTAAATAAATAAATAAAATAAAATATACCTCATGGGACTTTAATTCTATGATGTAGGGAGGAGCATAAATTGTTAATTTTAATGTATTCAAATTAAACAACATGAAAAATCTTATAATTACTCTGAACATCCCTAGTGGAATACCCTAAGAACATTTTTAAAGTTTAAAAGTATAAAGTTTTAAGTTCAAATTTTAAATGTTTAAAGAACTTTAAAACAAGTAAGCGTCTTTTAGTATTTACAGTAATATTATTGTTATTCTTAAATTATTATAGGATAAACAATTCTGTTACTGTGCATAGGAATATTTTTTTTCATGTAAGTAAAAAGTGGTACAAATATAAAATCTAATAAATTAAAACCTTTAATCTTAAATGTGAACAAAAAATTATCAACATAAATTCATAATGTAATTTTCCTTAAAAAAATTTCCAAGCTCTTTCAATGGAGAAGGCCTAGAAACAATAAGCAACTCAATAGCAACTAGAATACTGACAAAGCTTAACATCAGGCCAGTTGGCAAATAAGGCAGTTAAGAATCCAACTGCATTATCACAAAACAAAGCAACGAAAGGTAGATAAAATCATTAAACTGATAAACAGCACACGTATCAACAAGATGAGAGTATAATTCATCTAACATATTTAAGAGATCATAGTGGTATTTTAATCAAAGTATAGTTGATGCACATTATATAAGTTGTAGATGTACAATATAGTGATTCACAATTTTTGTAAAGATAATACTCCATTTAGAATTAAAATAATATTGGCTATATTCCCCATATTATACACTATACCCTTGTAGCTTATATCACACATAATAGTTTGTACCTCTTAAACCCCTAACCTCATAATTTCCCCCATTCCCTCTCCCCACTGGAAACCACTAGTTTGTTCTCTGTATCTGTGAGTCTGTTTCTTTTTTTGTTATAGTCACTAGTTTGTTGTATTTTTTTAGATTCCACATATAAGAAATATCATAGAGTATTTGTCTTTGTCTGATTTATTTCATGTAGTATAATGCCCTCCAGGTCTAACCATGTTGCTGCAAATCACAAAACTCTGTTTTTTTTTTATGGCTGAGTAGTCTGTCTATATGTACCATACCTTCTTTATTTATTCATCTGTTGATGGACACTTAGGTTGCTATAGATTTGTAGTATAGTCTTAATTAGGGATTCTGATTCTTCCAACTGTTATTCTTTCTCAAGACTGCTTTGAGTCTTGAGAAATAATAATTTGGTACCTTTCTTGCTTCCAGTTTATTCTAGTTCTGTGACAAATGCCATTGGCATTTTTTTGTGGGGTGGGGGGCTGCACTTGGTCTTCATTGCTGTGCATGGGCTTTCTCTAATTGTAAAGAGTGGGGGCTAATACTCTCCAGTTGAGGTGTATGGGCATGTCACTGTGGTGGCTTCTTTTGTTGTGGAGCTCTGGCTGTAGGGTGTGAGGGCTTCAGGAGCTGTGGCTCATGGGCTCAGAAGTTGCAGCTTGCGGGTTTCAGAGATAAGGCTCATTAGTTGTAGCGTAGTGGCTTAGTTGCCCCATAGCATGTGGAATCTTCCTGGACCAGGGATCAAACCCTGTGTCCCCTGCATTGGCAGGCAGATTCTTTACCACTAGAATACCACAGAAGTTTGTCATTGGTATTCTGATAGGGACTGCACTGAATCTGTTGATTGTCTTGTATAGTATGTTCACTTTAAAATATTAATTCTTCCAATCCGAGAACAAGGTATATCTATCCATCTGTCTCTGTCATCTTCAATTTCTTTCATCAGTTTCTGACAGTTTTCCAAGTACAGGTCTTTCACCTCTGTAGGCAGGTTTATTCACAGGTATTTTATTATTTTTAATGTAATTGTAAATGGGACGGTTTCCTTAATTTCTCTTTCTGATAGTATGCAACTGATATCTATATATATATATTAATTTTGTATCCTGCAACTCTACCAATTTATTGATGAGCTCTAATAGTTTTGATCATAGTGATAATTTTTAAATAAAACAAAGAAACCAAAAAGACTCTTCATTGCTCACCAAAGAAAGATGTAGACAACCAGCTCGTTACTTTGGAAACAGTAAACAAAAGCAAAGAATTAAGTATTTATTCCTTTTCCTGTTAGAACTCTAACTCAGGATAAACAGTCGATTAACAGAAATTCTCTTTACAGATGTAATCTACTAAATTAAGAAAGAATTATGAAAACAGAATTATCATTGGTTTGAAGCCCCATGTGAACCAAAAGCTACAAGCAATAATTGTCAATAGCTAACACCAACAAAAAGAGAGAATCAAGCATTATGTGCCTCATGGTGTAGTTTTCAAAACAATATATGACATATTCTTGCAGAAATGTGAGCCTCAGTCTGTTCAAGCCTCTGTATCAAAATCACAATTAAGGAAAATTAAGGACCAGAAAGTGGCTAGATGAAACCATGGGGATGCAATCAGCAAAATCCAGAATGTGAGATACTATACAGGGCAAACTATCTAGTTTCTACAACAATAAAGTTCAAGGGGGAAAAAATAAAACCGTTTTGCCTTTTTTCTTAAAGGGGCCTTTTCACCTTTTTGCATTTTTTGGACCCTTTTTTTTTCTTGTTTTTTTTTTTTTAAGTGAGGAATGAGAAAATTTGAAAACCAACTAGATATTTCATATTAAGGAATTTTACTAACAATTTTAGTATGATAATGGTACTGGGTTATTTATGTGTTAAAATAGATGTCCTTTTCTTTTTAATAACATATACAAACATACTTACAAATGAAAAAATATAAATAATATGATTAAGAGTTTGCTTCAAAATAATTCAATGGGAGGTAAAGAGAATGAGTGGAGTCAAGATGAAATAAAATTGGCTACAAGATGATTACGTAGCTAATGCATAGGTAGATAATGGGTACATGGTGTTTCACTATACAATTTGCTCTATTTTTGCATATGTCTGAAGTTTTCCAAATTAAAAGTTTTTCTTTAATCTGCCTTCCAGAAAAACTATAATAAAATCAGTTACACTTGCCTGAAAATGTCAGATTCAATTTATGAATCTCCCAAATGTATTTACATTTTCACACAAAGCTAAGGCCTTAAAGCAAAAGAATTATACTGATGGTATATTTTAAGAAATCAGCAAGTCAGTGAAAAATTTTCCTTATATTGTGAAGAGAAGGATTCCCAGCAAACTTAAAATCAAGAAAGACACATAAAGAACCAACCAATTCAGCTTACTTTTTAAGTAAGCATTTGGGTTTGAGAATGATCTGGTAATATAATAGACAACTCCTGGTTCACCTTTGTCATTGATTACCTGCCTGTTTACCAAGAGTAAGATGGGATTTCAACTATGTCCATTTACTACATGACTGTCTTACCAAATTTACAATCTATTTTTTTAAGTCTTTAAAATGTTCTTAAGTTCATCAAAGGATAAATAAAAGCTGAGTTTTAAAATTCTGGTCTTTTATCAGACACCTAAGTGTTTTCCACAAATAACAAGGCAGCAAACTTTAAAAACAATTTAGAACTGCTTTAATATTATTGACATTTACAGAAAAGCAGACTTACATACCTTGCCTGGACTGTGAAGCTGCTACAGGAACTTCTTGGTTTGGCTCAAAAGGAAGCTCAGGTGTTAGGTTTTCAAACTGCTCTTTACTAATGAGATTTAGCTTCTTAAAGTTCTCAACTTCTTGCTAAAGTAGAATGGAGGAATCTAATTACTAAACTGGCTAAGAGAGTAACCAACAGACAATAATTGATACCAATCTCAAAAAAATGAGTTTTAAAAACTGGAATTGATTGCAACAGAATAAAAAAAGATGTTCCAATAAAGAATCTAGCATTATACTTAAAAATAATTAATATTCAGAGTCTAAAGGTGGCATCAAGAACCCTTAAATGATATGAACATTTTATAATTAAAACATATTATAAGAACATACATTCTTATCATTAATTACTTATTGAGCATTGACACACAAGACCATTAAGGTATTATAGAGGTTACAAAGTAATCTAATACACGTTCCCTATCCTTAAGGAATTTACCAGTTAGAGAGAAAGGAGTATACAAATAAAAATAATATTAGACAGTATATGAAAAGTGTAATATTTGGCATAAGAATTGAGATCATAAGGGAGGCATCACAGAGGAGATGAGACAAAAGAAGCTCCTTAAATGAGAATTTAGAGAAAGGGAAAAGAATCCTAAATTAGGTACTATGAGCACAGATGAGAAGCTTGAAATAAACAGTCATTTATTAGAAGATAATTCAATAAATGAGAGAATTTATTTAGAACTAGTGGCAAAAAAGCCTAATAAGTAAGTTGGAGAAAGCTAGTAGACCTTTAATACTAGTTCAAGAGGTTTCTACCTTATTTTCTAATAGAGGAAACATGTGATGAAAGATAAATCTAGATGGATCTGAAGATTCATTTCCAAACCCCTTTTATAAGCTTAGCAGCAAGGATGCTGAGTAGGTCTAAATTGTTAGCTCTAAGAAAGAATGGGCCCATCCATGTCCCTAGGCGCCCTTCTAATTTTTGTTAGATAATTACTTAGATTTTCCCTGCCCTGAACTTCAAATATGCAAAACATTACAAAGGTAGAGGCCATTCTCTACTGGAAGGTTATTTGGTCATAGTGCATGACGACTATCCAAACCTGGCCAAAGCCGCAGGGGGAACAGGGAAAGAGTTTGAGGGGCTGCTTATATTGTATTACATCTGGTTATTTTCCCCAATAAACCCTATATCATGTCTACATCACTCAGTGCTAATATGTCCATAACCTTTTACAGCGTAACATCTAAAAAGAATGGACACAGGTAAAAGACAATATTATTTGTCTGATGAATCAAATTAAACAACATCATTACAAAATAGTTGTGACATCTTGCTCTTAACAGCTAACCAAACCACCTTTTCCTTCTTTCTTCAAATATGAATAGCTACTTGCCAGTTCACACCATTTTTGAGATCCAGTTAGCCTTTCAAAATAGGATCTATCTTTTTTCCATGAAAATGTCTGAAATGATTACTTCCCCCATACCAAAATTACTTTCCCAAAGGTCTTCAAGAAACTCTTCAAGCTAATTCAGAGTCATTACTCTTCACTGGCCCTTATCTTGCTTACAGAGCTTGCTATTAGCAACTCTCACTTCAGTGAACATTTATTGTATGCTTCTCACATGCCATAAATGAATAAAAATAGTTCTATTCTGATAGGAACACAAATTATATGTTTCTGTTTAGTTTTTAATTTTTAAAATTAACTAAGGTATAACATACCCAAATTTATATATACATATACACATTATTGAGGACATAAATCACAAGTTTATATCTCAAGGAGGGGTCAAAAGTGAATGAACCTGTGGGACCACCATTTGGGTAAAGATATAACTAAGCACCCTGGAAGTACCCTTCATGCACCTTCCTATTACTACCCTCTTTCTTCCTAAAGATAACCAAACACTCTGACTTTAATTCTATAGATTCATTTGCCTGTCTTTCAATTTTATAAAAAAAGCAGTAACATATGGTTTCTTTTACACGAAAATATCTTTATGAGATTCATTATAGTTTGTGACTCTACACCAGAGATCAGCAAACTAAAGCCCCTAAAAGCCAAAGTTTGTTTTTGTTAAGTAGTTTTATTGGAACACAACCACACCTATTTGTTTACATACTGCATATGGCTGGCTCCAGTGCTACAATTGCATGGTTGAATAGTTGCCATAGTCAATGTATGACACACCACGCCTGAAATATTTACTACATAGCTCTTCATAGAAAAAGTTTATCCATCCTTGCAATAATCAAACCTGGTTTTTAAAAAATCCATTCTACTGCTGATGAGCATTCAGGTCCTTTTCAGACTATAGTCATTATAAAAAATGTTACCGCAACTATGTTTTTACAGAACACTTACTTTGGTCAACAGACATATTTTTTCCCTCTTTAAGAAAAAATTCTTATAGGCATATAGTTGATTTACAATGTTGTATTACTTTCAGGTGTACAGTAAGTGAATCAGTTACACATATATTCACTTTTAAAGATTCTTTTCCCATTTCGATCATTACAGAGCATTGAGTAGAGTTTCCTATGCTATACAGCAGGTTATTATTAATTATCTGTTTTATATATAGTAGTCTGTACATGTCAGTACCAATCTCCCAGTTTCTCTCTCCCCCTGCCCTATCCCCTGGTAACCATAAGTTTGTTTTCTATATCTGGGACTCTTAAAATAGAGCTTGCTTTCTTTTCTCTCTCTCTCTTCTTTTTGGCTGCATAACATGGCATGCGAGATCTTAGTTTCCAGATCAGGGATTAAATCCACGCCTCCTGCAGCAGAAGTGTGGAGTCTTAATCACTGGACCACCAGGTTAGTCTCTTTCTCTCTTTTTCTTTTAAACTGAAGTATAATTGACATTTATTTTATGATTGTGAGAGCTGGACCATAAAGAAGACAGGGCACCAAAGAACTGATGCCTTCGAACTGTGGTGTTGGAGAAGACTCCTGAGAGTCCCCTAGGCTGCAAGGAGATCAAACCAGTCAATCTTAAGGTAAACCTACCCTGCATACTCATTAGAAGGACTGATGCTAAAGCTGAAGCTCCAGTATTTTGGTCACCTGATGCAAATGACCAACTCATTGGAAAAGTCCCTGATGCTGGGAATGACTGAGGCCAGAAAGAGAAGAGGGCATCAGAGGATGAGATAGCTGGATGGCATCACCAAAGCAATGGACATGAAGTTGGGCAAACTTTGGAAGATGGTGGATAGGGAGGTGTGGCATGCTACAGTCCATGGGGTTGCAAAGAGTCAGACACAACTGGGTGACTGAACAACAACAATAATTGATATATAATATTCTATGTTATGAGGGCTATCCCCAGGGGCTCAACAGTAAAGAATCTGCCTACAATGCAAGAGACTTGCAGGATATGCCAGTTCCATTCTTGGGTCGGGAAGATCTCCTGGAGTAGGAAATGGCAACCCACTCCAGTATTCTTGCCTGGAGAATCCCATGGGCAGAGGGGCCTGGTGGGCTACAGTCCAGGGGGTTACAAAGAGTTGGACAAAACTGAGCAACTAAACAACAGCAAGAATGATTCTAAGTGATAGGGGTACAACATAGTGGTGCACAATTTTTAAAGGTTATATTCCATTTATAGTTATTATAAAACATTGGTTATATTCCTTGGGTATGTACAACATATCCTTATATCCTTATCCTATACTCAACAGTTTGTACTTCTTACTAACCCACCTCTATATTGCCTATCCCTCCTTTCCTCTCCTGCTGGTAACCACTAGTTCGTTCTCTATATCTGTGAGAATGTTTCTTTTTTGTTATATTCTCTAGTTCGCTGTGTTTTTTAGATTCCACATATAAATGAGATCATACTTCCTCTGACTTACTTCGTTTAGCATAATTCTAAGTCCATCCACATTGCCGCGAATGGCAAAATTTTGTTCTTTTTGTGGCTGAATAGTATTCCACTGTGTCTGTGTGTGCACATAAACACATAAATACATACACCACATCTTCTTTATCCACTCATCTGTTGATGCACATTTTGGTTGTTTCCTTTTTTTGGCATTTTTAATTTTTGTTGTTTTGACCTTTGGGTTTTTTTTTTTTTTTTAATTTAGTGTTTTTGTTGTTTTCTCAGATATACACCCAAGACTGGATCTGTTGGGTCACATGGTGCTTCTACTTTTAGATTTTTGAGAAACCTCCATACTGCTTTCCACAGTGACTGCACCAATCTACATTCCAACCAACAGCGTAGGAGGATTCCCTTTTCTCCATACCTTCACCAACATTTGTTATTTGTGTTCTTTTGGATGAGAGTCATTTTGACAGATGTGAGGTGATATCCCATTGTGGTTTTGATTTGCATTCCCCTGATGATTAATCATGCTGAGCATCTTTTCATGTGCCTGTTGGCCACCTCTCCTCTTGGGAAAAATGTCTATTCAGTTCTTTGACCCATTTTTTAATCTTTTTTTTTTTTTTGATATTGAGTTGTATGAGCTGTTTGTACATGCTGGATATTAACCCTTTACTGGTCATATAATTTGCAAATTCTCTCAGTCGGTAGAGAGGTTGTCATTTCCTTTTGCTGATGATTTCCTTTGCTGTGCAAAATTTTTTTAAGTTTAATTAGGTTCCATTTGTTTATTTTTTGCTTTTATTCCCTTTACTTTAGGAGACAGACCCCCCCAAAAAAAAAATTTTTCCTGTGATTTATGACAGCAGACATGGCATACATTTTTACTGAGTATTTACTAGGAGTGGAATTGCTGAATTGGGTGGTGTACTTCAGCTTTAGTAGAAATTAGCAAATATGTTTTCATAGTGGTTGTGCCTATTTATATTCCAACTAGCAATATATAATTCATATTGCTCTACATCCTCATCAACCCTTTGGATTGTAAGTTTTTAAAAATTTAGTCCTTTTGAAAATGATGAAACTATGGATATAAACATTCTGAATGGACCTCAAGGGCATTATGATTGAAAAAAAATGTCAGTCTCAAAGGGTAACATGCTATAAGGTTCCATTTATATAACATTCTCAAAATGACAACATTGCAGAGATAGGGAACAGATTAGTGGCTACCAAGGATTAGGAATAGCAGAAGTGAGGCAGATGGGTGTAAATTTAATAGCAGAAGG